GCTAGCAAGGAAGTGAGGGCCTCAGACCTACAGCTGCAAGGGACTGGACTCGGCCAGCACCTGAATGAGTTTTTTTTTTTTCTTTTTTTTTTTATTATTTTTATTATTAGTTAAGGTGTTACAAATGTTTCCTTATCCACCCCCCCCCCATTAACCCTCAACCTCCCCCCGCACACACACTCATGCTCCCATCCCGCTGTTGTCCATGTCCATTGGTTTGGCTTACATACATGTATACAAGTCCTTCGGTTGATCTCTTCCCCTTACCCCCGCAATGAGTTTTGAAGCAGGTTCTGCCCCAGAGCCTGAGATAAGAGTAGAGCCCAGCTGATACTTGACTTCCTCCTTGTGAAGATAAGAGCTGAGGCTCTTGTCAGATAAAAGCTAAGAATTTTCCAGAGCAGGATAGTCCTCTATCCCTAAGCAGAAGACCCTACAGTGCTACAGAGCTCGTCTGGACTTCTGACCCACAAAACTGAGATAATAGATGTGTTTTGTTTGTTTTTGTTTGTTTGTGGTTTGTGTGTGTGTGTGTGTGTGTGTGTGTATGTGTGTGTTTTAAATATATCTTATTGATTTTTTTACAGAGAGGAAGGGAGAGGGATAGTTAGAAACATTGATGAGAAAGAAACATTGATCAGCTGCCTCCTGCATGCCCCCTACCGGGGATGTGCCCGCAACCAAGATACATGCCCTTGACCAGAATCAAACCTGCGACCCTTCAGTCCGCAGGCTGACACTCTATCCACTGAGCAAAACCGGTTAGGGCTAGATGTGTTGTTTTAAGCAACTAAGTTTATAATTTGTTACACACCAACAGGAACTAATACAGAGGGCATCTTTACAAAATCACATTTGAAGGCTGCAGAGCTAAAGCTTGAGAAACACCACTCTAGCTAATTCTTTTTCTTCCACCAGGCTGTTCCCAAACCCATTGCCCTGGAGCCATGTTTTTACTACAAAGCTGCTGTCCTCTCCGCATTTGTGAGGCTCCCTCGAGGCCTTGGTGGAATCCCTCCTCCGGGGCAGTCCGGTGAGTAGACCAGAAGGTCAGCGAGGGATCCTTCCCTTTTACAGAGAACTGGGGTATAAATGTGACTAGTTCCTGCCTCATGGTGTTATGAGGATTCGGTGAGATAACTCCCTCATCACTGGATTTCCTTCTCTCTTTCCCGAGGTCCTTCCCAGGGGAAAGTCCAGAACTCCCCTCACTGCGCCAGCTTCCCAGTGATATTGATGCCTCCTACCACACCTTCCTTTGCCTACAGTGTGTCTGGCCTCCTCTGGCTTTGCTGCTCCTTTCCTGTCTCTCCTTCCTCTGCCCCTAAATGTAGGCGTGTTTTCCTCTTCCTCCATTCTTACTCTCTGTCATCTTACCTGCTCTCATGGCTCCTCCAAGCTGATGATTTTCAAATTGGTATTTCCAGAACTATTGCATTTCATTTGCTTTTTCACTGTGTTTTATACATTTTTAATTGATTTATTTTAGAGAGAGGAATATCATTTTGTTCCAAACATTTTTATGCATTCATTGGTTGCTTCATGTCTGTGCTCTGACCAGGGATCAAACATACAACCTTTGCGTATCAGGATGACACTCTAACCAACTACCTGGCCAGGGCATTTTTCACTCTGTTTTAAATATAAGGCACAAACAGCAATTATAACAATTTAAAGGAAGTTTCTCCTCTTCAACACGCATTAATTTTCACTGTTCTATTGTTTCCTTCCAGCAATTTAGTTGGAATGTTTGTGTCATTCTTATTTTCATTCTCTTTTTTTCATATAACTTTCATAAACATTTTAACATCTTACTACATAATCTTTACCAATCTCTTTTATATTATTCCATCAAATACATGGATCATAATTTGGGTAAACATTGTCTTATTATTGAACATGAAGGAAAGATGGAGTATAGTTTTGAAGTATCTTGATTAGCCATGGAGTACTTTAGAGGGATGCCTCAGACAATATGAATGTTTGAGACAGCTTTCAGTTGAGATGATTCTTGGGGTCAGGGTTGCCTCCACTAAAAAAAAAGCCTCTGAGGAAAGTGTGAGCAGAATCCGTGCCCAGGCCCTGAGCTCCACAGCCCGAGCATAACCAGCAGAGCCTCCCGCTCAGCTTTCAGATGGTCTGGGGTGTCCTCACAAAGGGAGGCTGTTGGGCATGGCCAGGCCAGGGTTTCTGCCTTCACTTCATGGGGACAGCTTGATTTGCCCTCACCTGGGGGTTTCTGTGAGTTGAGCCCCTAACTTGCCCATGTTGAGGGCAGGATGACCCGTTGACCTGAAGACTCTGGGGCTGTGTCTTCTGCCACCACATTGGACGGTTCTCCCTGATGGCAAGGTGCTGGCTAGGGTGGGGAGGAGATGACAGACTTGCAACACTGCGGCCTTTTCTGCCCCAAACTCTTCCTGATGTGCCCCACCACCCCTCTGAACTCCTGAGGAAGGCCCACCCACTGCTTGAGACCCCATTCATTCTCTACCCCCCATTTTAGAGGGTGTCCATGGACTCCCAGAGCACCTGGCTCTGCCTTTGGTTAACAGTTGTTACTGGATTCTCCACTGAATTCCAGGCACTAAACCTGGCACTTAAAAACCACCCCCTCTCCTTTCCCCCATTTTGTAGGCTCTGAGGTGGAGCAACAAGTCTGCCAGCACGGCTCCTGACCAGCTGAGCCTGGGCTGGCCTTTTCCCAGATGAGATCAGTTAAAGGTTACCAGCCAAAAAGGAGACGAACCACCAGTCTCTAAAGCAGAGGTGGGGGTGGCGATGAGCCAAGCAGCATTCTAAGGATACTTCAGTTCACTCATTGACTCCTCATGCAAGCCCTGTGTTATTATTCTCCATTTTACAAAGGAAGAAACAGGCACAGGGAGATTAAAGAACCTCGCTTATTTCAGAGTCTGCCCTAACCCGTATCGTGGTATAGATATAAAAATCACTAGTGCTGGCCTGGCTCGTGTGGCTCAGTTGGTTGAGTGTTGTCTCATGCACCAAGAGGTTGCTGGTTCGATTCCCAGTCAGGGTACATGCCCAGGTTGTGGGCTTAATCCCCAGTAGGGTGTGTGCAGAAGGTAGCCAATCTGTGTTTCTCTCTCATAGATGTATCTTATCTCTCCCTTCCTCTCTCTCTAAAATCAATAAAAACATTTTTAAAAAATCACTAGTGCTGGTTGGGCCATGTGGAATGAATCTGAATTACATTGTAAAGAGTGCTGCTTGCCTGGCCGATGTGGCTCAGTGGTTGAGCATCAACCTATGAGCCAGGAGGTCACTGTTTGATTCCCAGTTGGGACACATGCCCAGATTGTGGGTTCGATCCCCAGTTGGGGGCGTGCAGGAGGCAGCCGATCAATGACTGTCTCTCATCATGGATGTTTCTATCTCTTTCTCCCTCCCCTTCCCTCTCGGAAATCAAAAAATCAAAAAATAAAATCAAAAAAAAATATTTAAAAAAAATATTTTTTAAAAGATGCTGCTTTTTCTTGGCCTCCCTTTGGAGACCAGCAGGAGAAATTTAGTGCTTAGAGTATGTCTGCAATCATACTAAATGCTCCCACCACCATGCAGAGCACTTGGCTTGATTGATCTGAAAAGCAGGCTATCCCTTTTTGTATAACAAGAGAGGGGCAAAGAATATGTGTTTGTATTTGTATAACTAAACCCTGAAAGAATATATGCAAACTAATGAGAACAGTTTCTCAGCTGGCGAGGGGACAGGTGGAGGAAGGGGCAGAGTGCAATAAGACTTCCCTACATACTTTATTGCTTTGTTTAGTGTACTGTGGGAATGTAAACAGAATTTTTAGATTTATTTTTGAAAATACAAGCAAGCTGCTCCTTAACATGTGTTCCCTCTGTGGGTTCTCCCAAGGTCTCGCAGTAGCCAGCGCCCTGGTGGACATTTCTCAGCACCTGCCAGTGCTGTACAAGGAGAAGTTAGGAGCACTGAGAAACCGGAAGCAGCAGCCCCCTGCGCAGCCTGGGACCTGCATTTGATGCTGGGCCAGGGAATCTCCGTGAGTGAGCAAGTGGAGGCGAGGTGGCGTGCTGGAGTCTGCAGGGAGGGAGCAGGCAGGAGGCGCTGTGCCGAGCGGAGCAGGGCAAAAAACTGGAAACCCTCCGACTGGAAACATCGACTCATCTGCATGTTCACAAGCTTTCTTTGACAGTTTCTCCCATCTGTGCTCCAGCATCTAACCTTTTATTTTTGCATAGGGAATAATTGATTTAATTACAGGTCCAGGGACGATCCAGATGTTGCTGGAGGAGGCCAGTGTGGAGCCAGTGAGAGAGCTAGGAATGATACTCAGGTTTACTTGTGGGAAACTGGTCTTGGGACTGTCTCAACTGTGCAAAAAACAAAGATGTTGTGTTTACAAGTGAACGTGCATCATCAGTCGTTCTGGAACAAGGTCTTTTCAAAACTAGTTAGATAGATGAACTTGTCATCTGAAACCTATCTTTTTAAAAATATGTGCTATTTATTCTTGCACATTTTAGGCAGATAACTCTCTTCCAGGGAGCTTTTTTTCTAGTTGAGAACTAATGTCACTTTTGAATCATATTAAACTGAGATAGAAGGGGGCTATTTTAAATGTCAAGGTCAGCAGTGTTACTTAGAATGTAAACTGGTGTGATAGGTAGTTTTCTATAGCAACTTGGTTAATTTAGGTCTTAATCCATTTGGAATATCTCTCTCTCTCTCTCTCTCTCACACACACCCACACACACTAAGTGCCTAGACTTTAAATAGATCTAGCAACTGGAAAGTTAGTAAGCTTACGTTTTTACATAATTGCATTCCTACATTCTTACAGAATTTAAATAGCTCCCATTGGCAATCTGCTTTTTTTCTAAAATGTACTTTGCAGCCAGGAAAGAATTCTCACCCCAAGCAACCTTTATCCCAGCAGCAAGGACTGAGAGGAAAGCGGAAATGACCTAACTGTAAAAGCTCCTGTTGTTATTGTTGACATAAGGACACGAGGCGTGATCCCCTGTGTCCCCCTGCTGCCAGGGCAGCACAGAAGAAGGGACTCACTCGTGGTACATGTCTCCCCTGAGCAGAAAAGAGCATGACAGCATCTGGATCAAAGCAACTGTTCCTGGAGCCTGCGCCGAGCTGCAGGCTGCGGTGGGATCGCACGCCAGGCGAAGGACCTCTTTCCCCAGGAGGGGCTGTGTTCTTCACGCCTCCCCAGGCCCAGGTGGGGCCATGGGGAAGGCAGTGAACACGAAAAGGATGAAAAGCACAGGGAAAAAATCGACAAGGGAAAACTACGCCAAATGGAAAGTGACCAAATATAAACAGGGTGGGGACAGACCTGGCTTTTCTCCCAGGGCACTGCCTGGGCATCATGCTGTCCCCATGGTGCTCTGTTCCCTGGCATTATGCAGCAGCCTCCCAAGACCTCTCCTGCTTCAGAGCCTGGCGTGGACCCCTAGACAACTGGGCTCGTTTGTGAGTTTGGATAAGTAAATACTCAAAAGAGCAAAAACTGTGACATTTCACCTTTAAATGCAGTGCCTAGAGAGGGAGTGTTATCTCTTCCCCACTACCGACCCACTCCCATGAAGAATGGCCTGGGAAGATGTTTTCAAAGAAGTTGAACTAGAAAATACTGTCTGGTTCACAAAATACCTCTACTTTGAGACTTGCCTCTAGAAAGCTGTATTTTCACATCACTGTTAAAAGAGCAGATGGTTCTAGAAAAGACCTCTGGACTCCTCATGTACCTACTCCAGGTCACCGCACCCATGGGAGCCTGCCATGCATGGCCCTTCACCTATGATTGGCCCAGAGGGAGGCACTGCAGAGGATTCTACCATGAGGGACATCCTTGTTTGTTCTAAGGACCCCGTGTGCTCTTGTCCAGAGAAGTCCCTTCCCCACAGTAGTTCCAGGCCTTGAAAGAACATGCACTGGTCCCACAGCCACCTAGTTTTATTTATTTTTTCCTAAAAGATAATGTTTTGTTTTAAAAGGGAAGAAAAGAGCAAATGAAGTGTAATTCTGCTCCCACAGTGGAGAAGCAGCTGAACCCACTGCTTCCTCTTTTGCAGCCCATAGCAAGCGGCTTTCTCCAGGCTCGGCCAGAGGAAGGGGGTGGCAGGAGAAAAGGCACTCGCTTAGAGCCAGTTACCAAGAGGGCATCATCTGGAACTTCAGAGATGTCTGCGTGTCACAGGAGAGCCTGTACATAAATTAAAGTAGTCATGACAACCTTGATATTGCACTTGTACATAACTATACAGTAGTCCAGAATGTTCAGACATTCAGAGTGTACATAAAACAGAAAAATATCTAAATGTATTTTTATTAAATGTATGGCATCTGAGTTTCACCCAATGTGTGTTTGTGCCATATACTGGATATCCGAGTTCAGAGAAGTCCTCTTGTTAGGCCCTGAAGCTCTGATAACAAAGCCAGAAAGGGCACCCCCATCATGCCGATGTGTTGAGGTGCACCTGGTACCAATGGGATACCCTGAGAACCCGGTCATCTGTCAGTACACGCGGAAGCCGGCAGTGAGTTCGTGTAAACAGCAGTACGTGAGGAGACTCGAAGGCAGTGGAATCTGTCACTATTGTCGGCTCTGCAAGAGCATTGTGCATCAATCTGTCAACCTCTGGGTGCTGTGGGGCCAGAACAGCCAATTTCATCATGAGAAATGTTTCTCAAAGTCTTTCAGTTCAAAGATTATACCTGGAGAATCAGATTTTCTGAAAAGGGGTTTTCCAGGCTGCATTTTGTTGTGGTTTTGTCTAAATTTTTAGTGATCACTTCCAAGGACCATCGTTTACTATACTGGAAATGGTAGGTGGGAGTGGGGTAGTTAGTTGATACATAGCTCCTGCTTCCCCATGGAGAACTGCACACACCCTGCCCTCCTACCCTCTCCTACTCCCTTATACACACAGCTTAGGCAGAAGTCTGTGCTTCTCTCTGAGGATCGCCTCCAAAAGGTGGGAGGAGGTGTGGGGAGAAGGCAACTCCTACTTCCCTGGGCTTTCCCGGAGGAAGAGCAGCTTGGGATCAAGGACTGGCAGCAAAAGGGAAACGGGAATATCTGTGGTGAGGCCTGAGGTGCAAGATTAGAGACACCAGAAAATCTGGGGCAAGTGAAGAGACTAGAGCACTATCAGAAAAAGTCGTTTTACCTTCAGTGCAAGTCTTACTCCTTCAACTTGGGGAGTGCATTTGGGTAGGGGTGGGAATGATTCACATCCTTGGGGGCGGAGCGGGGGGGGTGCGCCTTGTCATGAACACATTCGATCTTTCCATTTCATTCATCCAGTCAACGAATATTCACTAAGCACTTACTAACAACCTAAGCTAATGCTAGGGCAGTGACCACGATGAAAAAGAAGCTCCAGAATTACAACAGAATCCAGTTCCCAAACCCATCGTCCAGATCTTAGAGAACAGGCCCAGGAAGGCAGGAGGACTGTCCTCGGCTGTGCACCAGCTCTCAGTCCGAAATGTTTACCCAGTGTACCAAACTCGGCCTCAGAAGTCATGGTGATGGTTTGTAGAGAGCTAGGCCCGCCAGGAGACATGTCCCTGAGTGGTTCAAACTAATAAACACCCTTGCCTGCAGGGAAACGACCTGGAGAGCGGATGAAAACTGGCGCCTTCTCTTTTAAAGGCAATAATGGAAGTGACTTCCAGTAACTGAATTTGGGCACAAAACATTCTGAACACTAGTGAAGCCTGTTTCTTTGAACTAATTCTGGCTTTGAAAATGTTTTATTCTGTAGTTATTTACATTTTTGTTTGTTTGGATTCCAGCTTAGTTTGTTAATATGTATAATTTAGCATTTATTGCACTCATGTAAATATGGAGTAAGTATTGTAAACTATTTCATTGCTGAGGATTGTGGGTACTATACATACATTTAAGGACTGCAATTTTTTGGTATTTTTTGTATTGTAAAATAACAGCTAATTTAAGCAGGAACAAGAGAATTAAGGGAGGTCTGCATTTTAAACACAAATGTGAAGAACTTGTATATAAACAAAAGTAAATACTATACCACAAACTTCCTTCTGAAATAAAAGTAGATCTGGTAAAAATGGGGGATTTTGTTCTGTCTTCAATTTTCTTTTATTTTTACAATTTGGTCATTAGAGCCTTAAGGAAAAAAAAAAATGTTTAATGGTTCCCAGATTTCAAGCTGCCTCAAAGGAAGCACTTGGCAGTTGAAGATGAAGGGGTAGAACCAGCAGTGGGCACCTCGGATGCCCCTGGAGGAGCTTCCTGGTGTCCCCGGTACCCGTGTGCCCTCGAAATGACCACGGAGACTGGTGTGCAGAGCGGTCCACACTGACGCAGGGCCTGCCAGCTGCCCCCGGTGTCAGCTTTCGTCTCCTCCTGGGCTCCTGAATGTCTCTCTAGGTTTTCAGACTTTTGAATCTCAGGTACACTGATAGGTTTCGTCCCCCACGGCCCCAGCAGCATCATTGGTCTTCAGTTTTTTATGAAGTTATCGAAAGTATCGTCTGTGGGCCTCCTGCATGCCCAGCCCCACTTTATGCAGCTCCTGCTCTCAAAAATGGGGTTAGAAGTGCATTTTGTTGCCCTGGTGCAGAATGCAAAAAGCCCGGAGGATGAGATGAGGCTCGGGAGAGTTGAGGACATCTGAGAAAGCAGCACAAGGGAGGACGGTGGTTCATACAGGGGAGGGTGGGTGAGGCCCAAGGGCTAGGAGTTGGGGGAACGGGGCTGGAGGAGCCTGGGCCAACTTGGAACTGTGTCCAGGAAACAACCAGGGATGTTGTCACGGACACTGGACCCCTGCTGGAAAACAGAAAATAAAAAGCATAGGTTTTTGAGGGAATTGTGTTGCCAGAGAAACCATTAGCCTGACCTTTACAGAGGAAAACAAACAACCAACTCTGTGACTATTGAGGAAGCTTAATTAGAACCACCTGCAGGCAGGCGAGGGCTGTGAAAGCTGTGTCTGAGGGCACAATCCAAGGCCACCTCAGATGTGGCCCAGAGAGCAGATTTGGGCCTGGGCAGAAACCTCCCCCACCCCAAGGCAGGGCCTGGCAGGATTTTAAAATCCCCATAGGCCAGTGATTGCTGTGCGTCTGCCATGTTCATCCTTCTTGTACAGGCAGGTCATGAGGGTGTCCTGCCTGGCCAGGCATTATGGAGGGACCAGGGATCTCACAGTGAACAAAACAGACAAAAATCCCTGCCCTCACAGAGTTTACAATGTAGTGGGGGAGACAGATAACGAGTAAAATGTCAGATGGTTCTGACAGAAAGGTAAAAATAGGGTAGGCAGAAAGTGCTGGGGGCCTGCTACTTTACATGGTGGTGCTGAGGAGGGACCGTTCTGATGTGACAGCTGAGCAGAGGGCTGAACAAAGGAAGGAGCTGGTGTGGAGACCCAGAGGTGGTAGCATGCCCAGTGGGTAAAAGCAAAGTGGGCTCTAACAGCAGTGGTAAGAGTTGGGGCAGGCAGGTCCTGTGGGGCAATGGTTTTCAACGGGCACAAGGTTGCCCTCCAGAGGACATTTTGGAAATGGGCGGAGGCAACGGGATTATTGCTGTGCTTTAGTGGGTGGGCCAGAGGTGGTCATCCTGTGGCCTGCGGGCTGTCCTACCCAACAAGGAACTGGCCCCCATCCCACTCAATTTTCAGACATCTTGCTGGATATTTGCATATGTGTGAAAATCCGTTTCTAATTATTTTTTGTGTAGAATCCAACCCTATTATAAACACAAAGTATTTGAGAGCTGGTTTAATATACAGTCAGTTTCCCAGATATGCAACTATTGTATAAATCAAGTGAAGACCAAACGTGGTTTTCTTCACAATGTTAGTAAGACCTGGTCATCATTTTGGAAAATTCTGTCACCAACAGCAATGTCATTCCTGGCAACTGAGTCCCCAGTCCCACACACCGGTGCGGGTTGCATCCGAACAGACACCCTACAGCCCAGCGCTACTGGCTGTGGAACATGCCCGGCAAGAATTCTCCCCTGTCTTGTGTCCCCAACTCAAGAGACTAGACCAGACGATCCCAGCGACTGTATGAAGTGTGCTGCACAGGGAGCAGGGGCTCGGCCCCGCGGCCAGGCCCATTCTCACACCAGGACTTTCCTCATTTGCTCAACCCCAGTCCCTTGAGGCCCAGTCTGTAAGGCTGTTTGTGTATTTTGTTCTGCTATGTGTGTACTTCTCTTAATTTTCCTCTCTGCGTCTTCTGGCTTGGACTGGAGGCGCCTTTGGTGGGGTGACATGTCCCTGGCAGGACAATTTCCCGAGATATCCTTCAACTTAGGGCTTCCCAGGCCTGCAGCCCAGCGAGGCGGGGCCATGTCTCTGCCTCCCTTCACATGCGTGCCAGACTCACGAGCACGTTTCTGTCCAGGTGGGGGGTGTCTCCTGAAGCCCTGCAGAGCCGTGTCCTCCTGCTTCTCTGGAGGTTCACTGCTAATCTCCATTCTTCCTGTAACAGTGAGCTGGTTCTGTGAGACTGGCCCCTCCTCTCTCCGTTGGGGAAGGTGGGGGAAGGGCAGTGAACAGTTTCCACATCAACCTTGTGCCCTAGACAGCAGGCTCCAAGCCAGAGTGGGCATTCATGAACCGTGAAGTTTCCACCAATAAATCAAGAGAAGCTTCCAGCACCTGCCTTTCTGCCTCACTCCCCTGCCCCCAGCCACCTGCAGCTAGCGGCTCAATGTTGACAACAGCTAACAGAGACCCAGTCACAGGGATCAGGCCAGGACCAGTCTCCTAGAGAGCACGTGAGGGAGTGACAGCAAGCAGGCTACCTCATCGGACACAGAGACCGACACCCAGGTGTAGACAAGGTTGGCAGGACCCCTCCCTGGTTGTGGGGGCCACAGCTGGACTCAGTCTTGAGACGTTTGGCCAGACTTAACACCATGTATGAGCCAGGACTTTTTTAGGCAGAAGTGACAGAAACCAGACTCTGACAACCTTACAGAATTCCATTAATTTACCTGGTGCTGCTATGACAAATTATCCAAACTTGCTGGTTTAAAAAAACAGAAACTTATCCTCATGGTTCCAGAACCCAGATGTCTGGAATCATGGTGTGGCAGGGCTACTGTCCCTCCAGAGCAGCGCTTCTCAACCTGTGGGTCGCGACCCCTTTGGGGGTCGAACGACCCTTTCACAGGGGTCACCTAAGACCATCGGAAAACACATATAATTACATATTGTTTTTGTGATTCATCACTATGCTTTAATTATGTTCAATTTGTAACAATGAAAATACATCCTGCATATCAGATATTTACATTACGATTCATAACAGTAGCAAAATTACAGTTATGAAGTAGCAACGAAAATAATTTTATGGTTGGGGGTCACCACCACATGAGGAACTGTATTAAAGGGTCACGGCATTAGGAAGGTTGAGAACCACTGCTCCAGGGGCTCTAGAGGAGAATTCAGTCCTGGCCACTTCTAGCATCTGGTGGCTGCCAGCATTCCTTGGCTTGTGGATACATCACTCCCATCTCTGCCTGTGTCTCATTTCCCTCTGCCTCTCTTATATAAGGATGTAGGGCCCCCTCAAATAATCCAGAATAAGCGCCTCCTTGCAGGATCCTTAATTTAATCACATCTTTTGCCATATAAGGTAATATTCACTCTTTTGCCTACATATAAGGTAAGTCACAGGTTCCATGGCTTAGGATGTGGAGATATCTTTGGGGCCACCATTCAGCCCACTACAGCAACAAAACCTTCAGAAAGTTGACTGCCCAGGAGTGGCAAGACAGTGCCTTTCACAGACCAAACACCTTGTCCCTTCTCTTGGCTTCTCTCTGCAGAGCTGACTGGATCCATGCCCCAGACAGCCTCAGGCCATCCACACAAAATGTCCACTCTGGGGGAAAACAGCCAGGCAACGGGGCCCCAGGGACCTTTCATTTTCCCCCTGCACCCAATAAGGAAGCCTCTTTTTCGTTGCGCATTGTCTGATGTTGGAGGCTCCTCTGGGTAAGCCTCAGTTTGTCTGCTTGGAGATTAGTACTGAAGGAAGACAGCCAGCTGCCATGGAACAGTTGTGCAATTTTCAACTAGGTTCTGCTCACTTTGAGCTTCCCAACATTTTGAAAGGTACATGCCTATGTTTTACTCCAGTTATCAGTAAATCATGGAGTAAGAGAGTTTAACATATTCTCACATAAGGCAAGTTATTTAGCAGATATTTAATTCTATGTTTGGGCCACCATGCACTCATGGTGAGCAGGCCAAGGTGATGCTTTCACTTCCCCACCCAACTCCCAATCCTTCTCCTTCTCCGCCCCCTCCCCCCCACACACACACACACCCAACACACACAATATCTCCCCAGCCCACTCCTAGATGTCCCCTCCCATGCAGATGTAGGTAGTTGAGAACATTCCTCCTTTCTCATAAAGTGAAAACAGGTTGGACTCTCACTTGGCCCAATACCCCTCCTGTTTTCCACTGGAAAACTGCCTTCCCATTGCATGTGATCTCAGTGGGCTAATGTCACTCCCCAGCCACTGGAAGAGGCTTATAACCCATGCTGGGGCCACCAGGGTCCTGCCTGGGACAGTCTGTGAATGCTGGGAAAGAGAGGTGCCTTTCTCTGCTGAGAATGCTACAAGGAGAGATCATAGATGGGAGGCTGCTGGTGGCATTCTCACCTGCCCTGTGGTGAGAGCCTACCTGGCAGCAGAAGGCAGCCAAACACAGGCCAGCAGGGGCAACATCACTTGAACCCCTGAAGACAGCTGTGCCTGAAACTCAGATGGTTGTCAGTTGGATTTGTGATTGGTTTCAATCAGGAGAGTCCTGGTTGAAGCTGGGAGGCTGGTTGACAGCTGCCTCACAGGGTGTCTGTGGGTTTGGTACAAGTTGCTAAGTACACAGTACCAGACCCAGTGGCTCTTTTTCTGGTCAAGACAGCCCCAGGCCTGGGCTTTGGTGTGGTCTGTACCTAACCTGTGTCTTAGACCAGGTGCTCCAGAAGCTGAGCCCAAGGTAGGAATTCTCAGGCCCTGATTTATTGGAGGGGTTACCCTCAGGGGAACCTCCTAAGTGAAGGAGGCAGGAGTGGGCAGGAGAAGGAGCTAGCTCTGATGTGGTCTCAGCTGGGATCCCGCATGGAGCTCTGGAGCAAGACTGGCGCACAGAATTGTCCCACCTGAGGCAAGCAGGCTGGGCCTCGATACCCCCGCCTCAGCCAGTCATTGGCTGCAGTCCCTGTCGGGGAGCAGAGTGTAACTTCACAGGCATTTCCTTGAGAGGAGGGGGCAGCTGTGAGCTGTGTTTGCAGCCAACATTCCCAGCGGCGTGGGGATGGGTTGCACTGGCCAGAGAAGCCTCAGAGCAAGGCACCAACAGCCGTGTCCACTTCCACCAGATTCATGGCCCCTGGCAAGCCTCAACCAGGTTTGAGAAGAGCAGCCTGGAGACACAGGATCCCTTCACTCATCAGGACTCATCCATGATTTTGAGGAAGAAGGAGGTGGGCAGAAAGCTTAGTACTGCCCCCCACTGTTCTGCCCTCACCTCCCCAAATTCTTTTGCAGAATCAAAGTTTAACACAATGCCCTTGGCTTCATTGGGTCCACACTGGCCACACACACAGAATGTTCACAAAAACTTTTATGATAAATTTCCCGCAGCTCCAGGAAAGAGTCTGACTCTCTGCAGATAGAATATGCAGGGATGAAAAACAAAAGCCCCATCGCCCCCTCTTTCAAGTGTCTGTCAGGGCGGGGCTCTGTAAGCACTGAGATGGGGCTCCACTAGGTGAGTATGGTAGGTGATCCCAGGGCTCCCAAACACCTCAGAGGTGGGACTGTGTCAAGCAGGGAGGGCCTAGGTTTGGCTGCAAATAACAGAAGCCTAGGGAGAAATTGCCTTAAACAAATTAGAGGTGTCATTTTTCTCATGCACTGAAGAGTCCAGAGGGAAGCGGACTGGAATTGGTGCAGTGGCTCAATTTTCCAGATGGTGCCCTTGTCCCAGACAGACATTGCCACCAAGGTCTGGGCAAGAAGAGGGGAGGGTTGAGGCTAGAGACTCAAGGGGCCAGTCAGCAAGTCAGTTCCAGTTTAAAGAGCTCTCCTGGAAGCCTCATCTGTGAATTCCATTCATTGGCCAGAACTGTATCACATGACCACCCCTAGCTGCAAGGGAGGCTAGGAAATGTACTTTATTTATCTGAGTACTAGCAGAGAAGTAAAAAAATAGATCAAAGCAATCAAAATCCCTGCCACTAGAACCTGGCAGTAGATTCAGTTCAGCATCGATAGGTCAGGAGACAGAGCCCAGAGAAGTTCTGAAGCCATCTGAGGTCACCTCGGCCAGCAGCAGAAACACACCCTGTGGCTAACCATAGGTCCCAGGACACAGATCACATGAAAGCAAGGCCGGTCTCAGTGTACATGGATTTATTGAGCTGTGGATACCATTCCCAGTGCTGGGTTAAACCATGGGGTCGGTGGCTACCTGGCCAGTACAATGCAGGGAACCGGGTTCCCACCTACTCAAGGTGGTACCCACCAAGCAACATACCACTCTGCCATGGGACGTTTGTCATAGGACGCAGGTGATTATCATCACGGGTGGCACATAACTGGGAAGGGGCCATGAAAGGCTGCAGTGTTAGCGGGGGTTTTGCCTATAAATCTGTTCAGATTACTCTTTAAGGTATAATCTGCTTGGGTGGGGGGCTGATAAAATCTCCTATAATTCTTGGAGTTTGGTTGGTCTCTCACCTTCTCTAGGTTATCTTCGGGCCTGGTGAGGCCTCAGCTACACAGGTGACCCCCTCTCATGCCTAACCTTTGGGAAACTCCAACTGTTCCAAGGTCTGTGGAGAAAGAGACCTACAACCAAGAAACCAACTGAAAGGGAAACCATGAGCTTCATAATTAGGCCTGTAGCCTATATGCCTCACTCCAGGGGACAAGCACACAGGATGTCCAGACCTGCAGAGGGCAGCAGAGCAAGAGCCACTGGGGCTAGCTTGGGGGTCAGGGAGGGGGGGGGAGGTAAACCAGTCCCTTTTCAGTGGGGCAGTAGGCCACAGAGGTGGCCGTGTACCCCGGGCAGGGTGGGATAGGTGGCTGTGCTGTTCAAGGTCTGCTGTTCTAGTCATAGCAGAGTCTGGAGAGCCGACAGGGAGATGGAGAGCAGGGAGCACCCCTTCAGGGGCCCATCTGTGGCAGACACCTTGGAGGGTGGGAGCAGAGTGTGGGCTTGAGGCAGAAGCCCAGCCCTGCTCTTTGTGTCCACCCCCATCCCAGGTCATTCATGTCCATCTAGGCCCAACTGGCATGGAAGGAAGGAACAGTGCAGGGGAAGCCAGCTCACCATCCCCTCCCTGCACCTACCTGCAGGAGGCTGTGCTCAAGGTCCTGGCTGGAGTCTGGATGGGCCCGCAGGACTGGGGGTTGCCAGCTGTCAAAGGTCTGTATAGCGCCATCTATAGAGGGAGGGATCAGGGTGGGCTTGGCTGGGAAACCCTAGCACAGGGGACAGCTCCTTGGGGACAAACTGAGAAACCCCTGGCGACCTTCGTGGCCTCTCTCTAGGAGCAGATGGAAGATAGAATGCCTGCAAGGACTGGCTTCTGGAATGGAAGGCGCAGGGTAAGGAATAACAAAGTAAGGACGACGGCGCTGAGTGCCTCACCAACCTTGTAGTCTTCCACCCTCACTGGGGAGGGTGACCGTTATCATCCCCCTTTTACAGATGGACACAAAATGGCTTCGAGGGGGCTTCAGACTCAGGCCCCTTAACTCTCAGGCTGGGCAGGGAACCGCCAAACTATTCAGAGGGCGGCAAGGCCATCGATGAAAGGAGCTGCCAGTGCCTCTGGGATGGAGCTGCCTCAGAAGCGGCAGAGGCAGGAATCTCAACCAGTTCCACGCCAGGTCCTCTCCCGCCCGCAGGGGCACCGGCCTGCACACCCCTAGGAGCGGCTCGGTAGAGGGCAGTAAGGGCCAAGCGTGCTTCCCGCCCCCTGCCCGGCCCCTCACCCAAGCAGCGGTTCCCGGTAAAGAGCTCCCGGAAGGCTTCGCACTCCTCCCGTCGATTTCCGCTGGCTCCGCAGTCGCACCAGGGCGCCACGCGCGCGCTCCCGTTGTCCACATAGTTGGGGGTGACTGCGGTGCCTGCGGGGACCCAGAGAGCGCAGTAATCGGTCCACCCGGGTGGAGGAAGCCCGGAAGAGC